GGAGAACATCATTCTCAGCCAACTGATACAAGAACATAAAATGAAATACTGCATGTTCTCACTCATAGGTGGGTGTTGAACAATGAGAACACATGGACACAGGGAGGGGAGCACTACACACTGGGGTCTGTTGGGAAATAGGGGAGGGACAGCGGGGTGTGGGGATTTGGGGAGACATAGCAAGGGAAGAAATGCCAGATATAGGTGAAGGGGAGGAAGGCAGCAAATCACATTGCCACGTGTGTACCTATGCAACTATCTTGCATGTTCTTCACATGTACCCCAAAACCTAAAATGCAATTAATAAAAAAGAAAGAAATATTAGGAACACTATACAAGAAGAAAATGCAAAAGTGAAATTGATACACTTAAGTAAATAGTTTTTCAACTACACACTTTCCATATCCCATAGCAAATTAAAATCTATGTAATATTCTAATGTCCAGAATTTAGTACAATTTGGTTAATGAAAAGATTTATTCCCCTATGTAAAATAATGGGAAAACCCATTATCAAAAGTAGAATTTAGCAATAAGATGTAAATTATTATGAATTTCCAGTTCTTGATTAAGATGTGAGTTTCAGATTGCTTATTAAAAACTAACTAAATGTAAGAAAGCCACAGATGTACCAATACTGACAATGTATCATGGAATCAAAGATTACAAGTCATGAATTCTATGTACCTAAAATCTTTTTTTAAAGAAGATAAAATATGAGGATGGTTTGATTTGAAATACATTTGCAATGAGAAAGTTTAATACAAATGTTTCCTAATCAGCAAATCTAAGACAAAAAGAAGAAAGGTAGTGAGTATCAGAAGAAGATGCAATATAAAAAAGCATTAAATATCATTCAAATAATCATGAATGAGTCATAGGACGTGAAATATTCCTTTAAAAATAGCAGAGGAAGAAAGAAGAGGTTAAAGCCCGACAAGGTCAAGAGAAGAAGGCAGAGGAAGTGGTCTTCAAGGGTAGACCATGGCAACTTATCCAGGACTAGGAAAGGTTGAAGGCCCTAGAACAATGGGTGACCACAGAATGCATAATTTATATATCATACTCCCTTCTCCTAATGCAGATCCCTGGAATAAATACAATAGACTCCAAAAAAAATTTTTAAATGGATAATCATACATATTTATGGAATATGAAGTGATATGACAATACATACGATGCATAATAAGATTGGGGTAATTAGCATACCCTTCATTTCAAATATTTATCATTGTTTGTGTTAGAAACATTCAACATCCTCCTTCTAGCTATTTGAACCTTTATATTATTATTAACTATAGTTATCCTACAGTGCTATAGAATACTATAACTTAGTTTTCCTGTCTAGCTATAATTTTGTATCCTTTAACAAATCTATTCCTACCCCAATCCCTTTCCCCCTATCCTTCTCAGCCTCTGTTGTTCTATGTTCTACTTTTTATTTCTATGAGGTCAACTTCTCTTAAGCTTCCACATATAACGGTGTTTAACTTTCTGTTCCTGGCTTATTTCACTTAACAAAATGTCCTCCAGTTCCATCCATAAAATGTTTTATATATATATATATGATGTGGTTTGGCCATGTCCCCATTCAAATCTCAACTTGAATTGTATCTCCCGGAATTTCCACATGTTGTGGGAGGAACCCAGGGGAAGATAACTGAATCATGGGGGGCAGTCTTTCCTTGATATTCTTGTGATAGAGAATAAGTCTTACAAAATCTGATAGGTTTATCAATGGTTTCCATTTTTGCTTCCTCCTCATTTTCTCTTGCCACCGCCATGTAAGAAGAGCGTTTTGCCTCCTGCCATGGTTCTGAGGCCTCCCCAGCCATGTGAAACTGTAAGTGCAATTAAACTTTTTTTTTAATGGCTGATAGTATTCTATTGTGTGTATATATCACATTTTCTTTATCCAGTCATCTGTTGTTCGACCCTAGGTTGATTCCTTTTTCTACCTGATCAGTTAGAAGAAAAAATTTTTAGAAAAAAAGAAAACCCTAGGTTGATTCCATATCTTGGCTATTGTGAATAGTGCTGTAATAAAAACGGGAGTGCAGCGGTCTTTTTGTTACACTGACTTTCTTTCCTTTGGATAAATGCCCTGAAGTGGGATTGCTGGATTATGTGGTAGCCCTATTTGCAATTTTTTGAGGAACTGCATAGTGTTTATTGCAGTGGCTTTTGCTAGTTTAAGTCCTACCAACCACACATAAGTGTTTCTGCTTCTCTGCATCCTTGCCAGCTGTCATTAGTTTTTTTATCTTTTTGGTAATAGGGGCTGAGATAACACCTCGTTGTGGTTTTGATTTTCATTTCTCTACTGATTCGTGATGTTGAGCATTTTTAAAATGTATTTTTTGGCCATTTGTCTGTCTTTTAAGTTAAAAGTTTGTAAAGCCTAGAGGAGAGCATTTATTTGTACTTAAAACAAAAATACACTGCTTGTTCCCAGACAACCCATTGCAACATGGTCTCTACCTTGACCATTCTACTGAACTCCGCTGAACCTATTCTCATTCTGGGTTCCTAATTGCTAAATTGGGGGCTTTCTCTCAGACCTCCTCTTGAATTTCTTGCTAAGGCAACAAATATATATTTTTTATTAACGTTTTTAGTTTAACTGCAAAAAACCATTTCTAATGGATACATATAGGTCTTAAACTTCTTCCCTTTCCTCACTTTGGAACCAGGAGCTCTTCAAGAGCACCAGCACATTTTGAAATTCTCTTCTCACAGCAGACAGGGATTCAGACAGTTCAGAAAAGTCTGCCAGTTGAGAGAAACTTCAGCATTTCCTCTCAACTATCAGAGTTTCTCTAAACTTACGAGGAAATTTTCTCCTATGTGCCCTTCTTTCACACAGAAGAAGTAGTGGGAATTTCTTTGTAAGTTGAACACTGTCTAAATAGTTTTAAAAAGAAGATGCGGAACTCACATACCAGTCCAAGAATCTTTCATCTGACTGGAAGGTAAAATTGAAAATCCAGACCCTGTGTGGAATAATGGGAGTGGGTAATTACCCAAATATTTATATTGTTTAACATCTCTTTTTTTAAAAAGATATTTTCTATAGCTATTGTATGGAGAAAGTGTTGAGTCATTTGTTCATGATGACTAGATTTCAATTGTAGAATAACTTACATTATTTTTGAGTTGGCATGTTGCCATTATTTCCTAGTCTTTTTACAGGGCCCTGCCTTCCTAAAAATGTTTCTGACACTTCTACCTTCGTTCAAATGAATATTTTCATCACAACAATTGATTACAGAAGTCAGGGTATGCCAGAACTTGACTGCTTATTCATGAGAAAGAGAAGTTATAGGGTCAGATAATGTCAGTTATCACATGTCAGAGCCAGCCTAAGACATGAGTTGGAGAGAGGTGAAGGTCTGAGGAGTCCCATATGAAAGGTGAAACCAGAGTAAATGAAGAAAAGAAAATTGTAAAAATTGATGGTCATGTATGGAGGTGCAATGCTTAGATTCACATTTGATAAAACTGTCCCAGACCTAGGCCCTCAGATGGAGGGTGAGCTCTTCCTTCCCCTCCCTTGCTGCTTGACTGGGAGAGAATGCTTTGTCATGCTGATCCTTGGATAGGATTAAAATTGTTTTTGCAAATTTTAATAATTTCATGACATTCTCTGAGATGACAATCCTCATTTTTGAATCTTCTGTGTGTTTTGAAGCCCTATGCCTAGAGCATGGTGCTGGCTTCTGATGGGCAGGTATCTTTCTCTTCATTTTACACTCACAAATAAGTTAAGTGAGGGTGCCCTTTGGTGCAAAATCATGGCAGAGTTGGGAATCTAGTAGGTTCTTGAGACTTCTGGGTTGGGTACTCACCACTCAAATGTAGTGGTTGGAAGAAACTGCTCCCTAATGCTATATGTGCAGAAGTTATTTTCTAGAAAAAAAAAATGTGAGGCTGTGCTAAGGCGAAGACTCGTAAATTCAATTTCTCTTTTCTCCTTAGTCCCCCGACCTTCCCTTTAATAGTTGCAATCCTATTACTGATTATCCGGTGGTAGGGGACATCCAGCACTAAGAAAAAAATGTCATTAAAGAAAATGGTAGCCTTTAAAGGGCTTTTTATCGATTTTCAGTGGGTTTAACTGTTATCCTCAGGCTTTTGGACAACATTATCGCTTCCTATTGAAAATGGATTGCATTTAACTGGCACAAGAACAGAAAGCCAAACCCCGCATGTTCTCACTCATAGGTGGGTGTTGAACAATGAGAACACATGGACTCGGGGAGAGGAGCATCACATACTGGGGGCAGTTGTGGTAGGGGAGAGACAGCAGGGGTGGGGAGGGATAACATGGGGAGAAATGCCAGATATAGTATGCACCTAAAGTAAAATAAAAATAATAAAAAAGAAAATTTAAATATAATAACAAAAAAAAGAAAATGGATCGCATTTTTGTTTTGTTTTGTTTTTTGAGACGGAGTTACGCTCTTGTTACCCAGGCTGGAGTGCAATGGCGTGATCTCGGCTCACCGCAACCTCCACCTCCTGGTTCAGGCAATTCTCCTGCATCAGCCTCCTGAGTAGCTGGGATTACAGGCATGTGCCACCATGCCCAGCTAATTTTTTTGTATTTTTAGTAGAGACGGGGTTTTACCATGTTGACCAGGATGGTCTCGATCTCTTGACCTCATGATCCACCTGCCTCGGCCTCCCAAAGTTCTGGGATTACAGTCTTGAGCCACCGCACCTGGCCTCACATTTTTGTTTTTAAGCTGAATGTGCCTAGTGCAAGGAAACTACTAAGATCACTCTTGAGATAAATTGAGGGCATTATTGTAAAACCCATACTTACAGGGTAATTTGGATACTTACAAGGACCAAAGGAAGGTATAGGAAAAGGAAAAGGAAAGAAAGGGGAAGTAAATAAGAACTGAGACAAAGAAAGGGCTCTATGAGGTAATGATGAATAGAACAATGGCTCATTATTACATATGGAAAAGAGTGACCTTGCTGAGACTCTGAGAGGCCACCTACGCCATAAGTTTCCCTCCACTACCAGTCAGCTCTAGGTGCTCAGGGAAGATAAACCTAACTGTGTAAGTGCTCATGAGTGATGGGAAAAACAAACAGAAAAAGCCCACTGTTGTCTGAGTACAAAACAGCTTCACTCTGAGATAATCTTATAAAAAGTGTACTGGAAAAGGGAACGTATTTCTCTACTAACTGGAGAGAATGATAAGCCGCACATATCACAGGGCTAATGGTCAATGATCCCAAATGAGCACCCGTAAGGAGGCAGAGGCCCAAGACCAGCGTTAGTAGAAGATCCCAGACCTGAGCTGTTAGTAGTTGCTCTCATGGTGTTTGGTGATCTCTTCTCTTACTGATCCCTCCCTCCCTTGGAGACTCTGAAAAAGTGATTTTATCAAGGGTCCAATCCTGGTGAGGCTTAGGGACCATTTAAATGGTACATGTAGGTACTTCTAGAACTTTTTAAACTGTTTGGAGAGAGAAGGCCCTATATAAAAAAGTTGAGACTTTTTGCTCCTCAGTTGAGACTTAAAACACTGAGATTGAAATGATTCTTGTACACATAACTCTTCTATATTCCTCACATATGCAGCCTGAATCCTAAGCACACTACAGATGATTTTGCTGTACACTAAAGTGTAGTAATTATTAGCTAGGGTTGGTCAAACCCAACTTGATGATCTCTGAGTACTCCTTTCTCAATTGTTACTTTTCAAGAATTGTTAAAAGAACCTGCCCACCTCTTATTTATGGAAGCAGGAGTCATTAGAACAGGGAGCTTGGAGATCATCTAGTGCAATAAGGTTAGTTTATAGGCAACACCACCACGGTTCATAGAACTCAATTACCTACTCCAAGTTTGTTAGAGTGGAAGACAGAAGACAATAGGTTCAAGTGGGAGTAATGGCGCATTCCCAGCATGTGATAAGAATAGTAATTAGTCCTGGCTCTACCTACTAGGTGGATTTTGAGCCACTGATTTTTCCATTATTTTGTCCAAGCACTGAAGCTCAATCTCTCTTTAAAATAATTTCAGCATTTATTTTAGATTCAAGAGGTATATGTGTAGGATTGTTACCTGGGTATATTGTGTGCTGCTGAGGTTTGGGGTGTGAGTGATTCCATAATCAACTAGTGAGCACACAATAATTATTCAACCCTTATCTGCCTTCTTCCCTCCCCTTTAGCAGCCTCCAGTTTCTATTGCTGCCATCTTTAGGTCCATGTGTACCCAATGTTTAGCTCCTACTTATAAGTGAGAACATGTAGGATTTGTTTTTCTATTCCTGTGTTAATTCACTTGGCATAATGGCCTTCAGCTGCATCCATGTTGCTTCAAAGGATGAGATTTCACTCTTTTTTATGACTGCATGGTATTCTATGATGTATATGTACCACCTTTTCTTTATCCAATTCACCATGGATGGACACATAGGTTGATTCCATGTCCTTGCTATTATAAATAGTACTGCAATGGACATCCAAGTTTATGTGACTTTTTGGTAGAATGACTTATTTTCTTCTAGATATATATGCAGTAATTGGGTTGCTGGGTTAAATGGCAGTTCTATTTTAAGTTCTTTGAGAAGTCTTCAAACAGTGGCTGAGCAAATTTGCATTCCTACCAGCAGTGTTTAAGTGTTCCCTTTTCCCAGCAACCTTACCAGTACCTGTGTTTATGTGTTCCCTTTTCTCAGCAACCTTACCAGTACCTGTTAGTTTTTGACCTTTTAATCATAGCCTTCTGACTAGTGTGAGATGGGGTATCTCATTGTGGTTTTGATTTGCACTTCTCTGATGATTAGTGATGTTGAGTGTTTTTCCGTACATTTGTTGGCTAACATGTATGTCTTCTTTTGAGAAATGTCTGTTCATGTCTTTTGCCCATTTGTAAAAATGGTTTTTTTTTCTTGTTCAATTGTTTCAGTTCCTCTTCAATTCTGTAGGTTATCTTTTACCCTGTTGATAGCTTCTTTTGCTGTGCACAAGCTGTTTAGTTTAATTAGGTCCCACTTACCAATTTTTGTTTTTGTTGTAATTGCTTTCGAGGACTTAGTCATAAATTATTTCCCAAGGCCAATGTCTAGAAGGGTGTTTCCTAGATTTTCTTTTGGGATTCTTATAGTTTGAGGTCTTCCATTTAAATCTTTAATTCATCTTGAGTTAATTTTTGTATCTGGTAAAAGACAAATGTCTAGTTTTATTTTTCTGCATATGGTTAGTCAACTATCTCAGCACCACTTATGAAATAGGGTGTCTTTTCTGCATCTTTGTCAAAGATCAGATGGTTGTGGGTGTGGCTTTATTTCTGGGCTTTCTATTTTATTCTATTCGTCTATATGTCTGTCTTTTTAAAAAAAAAAACAGTATCATGCTATTTTGATTACTGTAGCTTTACAGTATAGTTTAAATTTGGACACTATGATGCCTCTGGCTTTGTTCTTTTTGCTTAGGATTTCTTTTGTCATTTAGGCTCTTTTTTTGTTAACCTCTCTCTTTATCAGACTTTCTTAAGGAGAGAATTGAGCAACTACATGAATATTCAGTTATATGCTAGTGACTCATGATGTGTATCAATAGCTTGGGATTTAATAATTTCTCTTTCCTGATAACTCTAAGTAATTTAGCTACTTTTTCTCATGGGTACTGGAGAGGTATATCATGACTAGAGAAAATAATGTGAAATTTGGAGTCAGTGGTCCTGAGTTTAAGTCCTCATTAGCAATCTGCAAATGTAATCTGTTGCTGCTGCTGCTGCTGCTGTTTTTGTTATTGTTAACAATATCAAAATAATATCTGAATGACCTTGGGAGAGTTATATCTCTAAATTTTAATTCCTTTTTGTTAAAATTTAAAAATTCCTGGATTTATTGAAAGAATTCATGGAAAAATGTTAATGAAATGCATAGAAAAGTTAAAAGCATATATAAGTTATGCTATTATTGTCACTTTAATATTACTAAAAGTAACAAATATGCTACTGAAACTTAAAAAAAATCATTGATTTTATAATTTTTTTCCATGAAGGATTTGTGGTGGCTTCAAAGAGCATAATAAAAGAAAAATACAGAAATATCAGTACCAGGAAAAAAAGAAGAATATAAAGGTTGGCAGAGTGTAGGTTTTTTCATAGAGTAGTAAAGAGAGACATATGTAGGCATTACTTCCATTATACTCTTCAAATCTTTTTTCAAATGGCTGTTACCCCTGAGGAGAGATGTTTTAGATGCTTAAATGAGGAATACTTGATTGTAATTGGGGTGAACTCCACTGTACACCCAAGGCTGAGGAGTCTCATGGCTTTGATTTGTCTTTCATTACTTTTTGTGTCTCTAGGATGGTGCTGGATGACATTTTAATGAACGTATAACCAAAATCACATTTTCAAAAGTCTTTAGATAATCAGGAAAGTACATGAGAAATATCTACTAAAAAATCTGCTAGGGGATACAGAGTGAGAAGCATATAAAAACAACCTTGTGAATATGTACATAAATGAGAGGTTAGTAAAAGGTAACTGGGGATGGAGGTGGTTCACATTGAAATCACTTCTTCAAAAAGGACATTCACTGCAGTCAGAGATGATTAAAAATAATAAAACAATAATGCATTGTTTTTAACTCGAGATAATTAGGCTGAATCTCTAGGATACATACACACAGCTCATCAATGCTCAGCTTTCACTCTCCTAGCTAAAAGAAATGAAAATAGAAAATGTGAAGTTTAGACAGAGTAAAGATAATAATTGGAGTTTGAAATGAGGTAGAGTTGACAGTGAGAGCTATTTTGAACATGAAGTGAGTTGAATGACTACTAGATGAAGAGATACAGGGAAAGGGAAGGAAAAATGAGAGAAAGGGCCCACGATTAAGGGTGAATTAAATGAAGAAAGAGATTCAATGTCTTTACTGGGGATGTGGACAAACGTATAGGACCTTTTACTTGACTTCCCTCCTGGTTTTGACAGTCTGTGGTTAAATATTTGGAGCGTTGGCTTTTGGGTTATGTATTATAATATGTAAGTGGAAAATCTCCCATCAGCCTTAATGTGGGGTCAGCGATCATCCTGATAATTAATGACATCAGATGATGGATTTGGATACTATCTGCAGACTTGTAACACTCACAGAAGAGAGGGAAAAAGCTAGCTACTGGAAGAAGGTAGGAAGGAAGAAAAGCCTAAGAGTAAGAGGAGAGAGTGCATTACCTGATATGGCTCTGTGCTGTAGGGTGGGGGCTTCAACTCTGAGCATGTGGGTTCAGTAGGTCTGTGGGAGCCTGGGAATTTGCATTTCTAATAAGTTTCCAGATGATGTTGATGCAGCTGGCTTGGAGACTACACTTTGAGATCCACTGCCATAAGGGTTTATGGGAAGAAACTAGGAAAGCTGTTTACCACTTTCTGATATTGACTCTAATTTTTTTTCAGTTTGTTGACCAATTTAAAAGTGATTTTTGGATTATTGTTAAAGGCTGTAAACTACAAGTTAAGAGCCTTGAAAACAAGCAGGAAGGATTAGACATCATTATGCATACACACTGAGAACCTGAGCAATAGTTAGAGTGAATGACTGGGCTGCTCTGTTGTCAGGATGGGCATGGTATTAAGTGAGATTACAGCACTTGCATAGCTATAGTGCAAGTGGCTTCTAATGTCCTAAGAGAATGGTGTATGTGGGAAAGAAAAATACACATTATTTTATAAAAAGCCTCAAAGTGTACTGCCAAAATTTTAAGCACTGTCTTCTCTTTCTGGTATAGCAATAGAATTTGTTGTGAATACTTTCAGCTTTCAACAATTAATAAAAATCCTTACTAATAGAAAATTAATAAAAAAAGCATTTATTTTCATCTCCTAACAAGAAGTCTATAAGTAGGTGGCTTCTGGGGTTGGTTCAGGGGTTTAGTGAAATCAGAATTGCTTTCTTTACAATTCTCTTGACCCTTTCCTGTGGTTAATACCCATGTTGTTTATGGCCTAGCATATGGGCTCTCCTGGAAAATGTTCCATGAGCACTAGAGAAGAATATATATTCTACTTTTATTGGGTGAATGTTCTATGAATGTCTGTTAGTTCTATGTGTCTCCGACTGGCAGCTAGGTAGAGAAGAATTTTGGTCTCAGCTGCACATGTCTGCAGTAGAGCATCCATCATATTGATCTGGGGCCTGGGGGAAGTGAAGATATATGAGCAAATACGTGGCTCAGTTGCCCCAGGCTCTTGATGTCCTTCGTGAGATTTAGTAGATTTTCTTGAATAAATGTTTTCCATTTGCTGTATGCCTTAGGATAATTTCTAGAGATTATTATTTTTTATGTCATTTTCAGCAGTTGAATGGTTGGGCCACTGACTGGCAAGAGGGTCCACACTTCTCACACCACCACTCTAGGAGTTGGTTTCTCTTATGTTTGTATATTTTTAATCCTAGGGCTATCTTTCTGCTCTTTCGCACTGATTAAGTTAATAAGAGCCAAGTCGGTGAAAGCACAGATAGTAGGTTAATTACCTTAAGTTGGTGAGAAAAGCCAACTTCCCAAGACAAATATTGTTTAAAGAAAGAGTTAATAAGTTTTTTTAACAAATATAGTTTCTGATAATAAACATTTATAGTCTCAACTTTATAAATTAATGACTACTGTAGTTTTTAAAAGAAACATTTCATGTTTTTTCCTTGGGTAAACAGATTTAGGAAACAATTAACTTTATAGTTACAAGATCTTGAAAAAATGTAACTTTCACTGAAATTTTGAGGCAACTAATATGTGAATACCACTTACATTCCCCTTATTTTTCATTTCAACTAAGATAATTTGTAATCTTCTGCTTTACATTCTCAAAAACCCTATTTCAGCAGCTCTTTACATAAAATTTCCAGTAGTTGCTATTGAAACACATGACCCCTGAGTTTAATCAAGGCTGAGTAAAAAATTTGAGTTCAATAATTTATTTTTGAGCTGATTTTGGAGAATGGAAATGACATAAATGGAAGTAATATATTTGAATATAATTCTTGGGGAAATTTTATATTCAAAGACCAGTTTTATTAAGTGTAGTGACACAATGAATTCTACATATCCCTGCTGCATGAGATTTTTCAAAGAGAATTCTGTTGCAACCAACAGACTTGCAGCCAATATCCAAGCAGTGCTTGGATCAACTAGGAGATGACAGTAACTAGTCCTGTAATGTTGTAATGTTATTTAATATGTTATAACCCTGTATGCTGATGTAGGCTAGAATGATGACTATGACCAGGGGAAGAGATGAATGCAGTTAACTTTTATTGTTTGGAGATAGCTTACAGGTGTTGCCAGATAATATACTGCAGAACACTGAGTTTATATCTTTTACTCCACAGGTACTCCACAGGTTGGTATTTGGCCTCTAACTTCTCCTGCCCTCATGAGATTTGTTCCATTACTGAGCAGACCAAACATGGGAGAGCTGGACTGTAGAGTTTATAGGCACCTTCTTGGTCACCTCAGAAACAGAAGGCAGGTGAGACTGAAGTTTACAAATAGCACAGCTGTGCCACACTCGTCCTCCCTCATGAATGGGATTTCTGATGAAGTAAAATTGGGGTTTTGAAGCAATGTGGTAGTCCTTGGGTTAAGGTTCGGCAATTCCATTTCATTCTTGATAGTTCAGCTTGTGCAGTTGTCGTAATAAATAATAAAGCCCTTGGTTCCTGTACGAAGATGGATGGAGAAACATTAAATCATCGCCACTTCTTTTCAGTCTGCATTCTTTTGCAGCTTTCCACATCTAAAAAGTGTATTCAGAGTTGTGAAAGAAGCTGACTTCTCTGCATTTAATAGTGTCGTTTACTTAAATATCTGATAACTGTTAATAGAAACAGGCATTGAAGGCTAGTCACCTTTCCTGAGAAAAATGGCATCTCTCTCTGTTCCTTGGTGAACTCAATCCACATTTTTATTTTTGTGGGTATGTAATAGGGCTATACACATCTAATATGGTACATGAGATGTTTTGATACAGGAATGCAATGCATAACAATCACAGCATGGGAAATGGGTATCAGTCCCCTCAAGTATTTATCCTTTGTGTTACAAACAATACAATTATACTCTTTTAGTTATTTTAAAGTATACAATTAAATTATAATTGACTATAGTGACTCTGTTGTGCTATCAAATACTAGATCTTATTTATTCTCTTTACAATTTTTTCATTTTGTAGCCATTAAGCAACCCACTTCCCCTCCACCTCCCCCTATCCTCCCCACTACCCTTCCCAGTCTCTGGTAACCATCCTTCTACTCTCTATCTAAAGGAGTTCAATTGCTTTAATTTTAAGAGCCCGCAAATAATCGAGAAACATGCAATGCTTGTCTTTCTGTGCCTGACTTACTTCACTTAGCAAGAAAACCTCCAATTCCATCTATATTGTTGCAAATGACAGCATCTCATTCATTTTTATGGCTGGATAGTACTCCATTTTGTTTCTGTACCACATTTTCTTTCTCCATTCCTCTGTCGATGGACACTTGGGTTGCTTCCAAATCTTAGCTATTGTGAACAGTGCTGTAACAAGCATGGGAGTGCAGATATGGCTTTGATATACTGATTTCCTTACTTTTGGGTATATAACTGGCAGTAGGATTGCTGGATCATGCGATAGCTGTATTTCTAGTTTTTTCTTTTTCTTTTTCTTTTTTTTTTGAGACAGAGTCTCACTCTGGCACCAGGCTGGAGTGCGGTGGCGCAATCTTGGCGAATTAGCTCTGTTTGAGCTGGGACATCCATCTTCTCCTCTCAGACATTGATGCTCCTGGTTCTTAGGCCTTTGGACTTGAGGACTTACACCAGCATCTCTTTGCCATGCGCCCCTTTTCCCTCCCCCATTCTCGGGCCTTTGGACTCAGACTGATTACACCCCTGGCTTTCCTTGTTCTCCAGCTTGCAGACAGCAGATTGTGACTTCTGATCCTCCGTAAGTGCATGAGCCAATATCTGTAATCAATTAATGTCCCCCCGCCCCTTCGTGTGTATGTGTGTGTTTGTGTGTGTATAGACATTGATTCTATTCTCCGGAGAACCCTGACTATTATGTTCAATTTTGCAAAGGCAAACTCTTTTCAGTTTTTATTTGTCTCAAAATGTACTTATTTCACCTTCAGTATTGGAGGGTTTTGTCACTGGTTACAAAATTTTAGACTGCCGTTTTTTTTGTTTTTGTTTTCTAGCACATGGAACATATCTTGCTTCTAGCTTTCATTATTGCTATAAGAAAAGTCAAGATGATTGATCTTATCTCCTTGGGTGATTTTTAAGGTTTCTTGAAATATGGTTTCCTATAGTTTCTCAAAATGAATAATGTATATAACTGTGGAGATTGTATCTGTATTTTATTCCTATATCATGCTTAATATTGTTGGGCTTCCTGGATGTGATATTTGGAGACTTTCACAAATTCTAGAATATTCTCAGTTATCTGTTTCAAAATTCTTCTAAATTTCCCCTATTATTTTATTTTTCTGGAACTTCCATTAAATTCATGCTAAATCTTCTCCATCTCTTTTCTATTTCCTTAGTCCCTCTTTAAACAAATATTAATATGTTCATTTCTTTGTGTTTCCTGCTATGTTGTGAATAATACTTAGGCTTTATCCTTCAGTTGGTAGTTTTTGTCTCTGTGTCTACTGTGCTGTTGAATGTATACATTGAATTCTACATTTTAATTGTATATTTTCATTTTTAGAAATTGTATTATTTTCATATATATCTTGCAACTCTTTAGTCTTCTTAGTCATGTTTTCAACGATCCCTTTTATTTCTGTATAAATACTTTAATAGTTCTTTAATATTCTGTGAGAAACATTAGTATTTCAATAATTTCAAAAATCTGAAATTCTTTGCATGTCTGATCCTAACCCTTATTATTTTTGATTGCCCTGACCTATAGTGTTGCTTCTTTGCATGTTTTTGACTTTTGACTTGACTTGTTGGTATTTCTTTGAATTTCACACATGGGAATATTTTTGAAGTCTCCAGAGATTTGTGCTTGCTTCTGCCAGTTGTTCTCTTAGGTAACTACCAATGCAGAAACACTTTGAATTCTCAATTAAAGTTTTATGGATTGCACAGACTGCATGGTTTGGCTTGCATTCTTGTATGAGGTCTAGATTGTGGTTATGAATCCTCAAGGGAACGCTGTGCTTTCCAGTTTCCAGGGCCAAGGTTGAGACTGTTATATTCTTGTGTCTGTGTATTTATTTCTTTTAACAATCCTTACACTGAGGGTGAAACCCAGTGAGATTTCAGTTTTATGAAGGATAATTTCTTATAAGATTCCTTACTTAGCACTTGCTTTAGGCTTTGCCTCTGTCCCTGACTTATGCAGACTTCAAAGCAGAAGTCCGAGGGCTCCACGTTTAGCAGAAACACTCTTGCGAAGCCAGCTTAGTACTCACTGGCCTCTCTGCTTTCTTACTTCACCTATTTTTTTCTCCTTCATATTCCCTTTTTTTGCTGTTGTTTATTTACTTTTGAAAGAAAAATAAGAAAGTATATGGCTTCTGTCTGAAAATTGGCCCCATATATTTTTTAGATCACACTAAACTAAATCAAAACCTGAAGATATTTTGGACTTAATTTTGATTCCTAAATAATTTGGCTTAATAGGATATTTTATTTTCACAAAATATTGAAATTTAAATGTTTGATTATTATTTTCCATTCACTGGAGAAAATTTTCCATTCACTAGAGAGAAAAACACTTTAAAAAGCAATGCAGTATTATTTTTTTTGTCTTCCTGATGCATGGTTTTGAAAATTCCTTGTAAGTAATCCCTGATGATTGTCATTATCACTCATAAAATTATCTGAGGAAATTGTTGATAAGTATAAAAGGAATCAGGGATGATTTAAATATGCTATTAAAAATACTTCAGTGGAATTAGACCTATTATGTCCTCCCAGTACCTAATTTTGGAAGGTAATTATAGATCAAATATTCAGTGTGGTTGGGGATTGATTTTCTTTCCCTGGGAATACAGGAATTTTATTCAAGTGACATTTACAGAAATATATCTTGGAAATACCATCTATACTAAATCTTATTATGCCTTTCACCCAAACAGTTGAGAGAAGCAAAAAATTAATAGAAAAATTCAGATGTACTCTGAAAGAATCAAGTAATCTTGAAGAAAAGCTGAGTTATTTTGAAGTTAGCATCTCTAACCATCGCTTATTATTATCCAACAATTTTGTTTGAGAACCTGTTTTTAAACCTACTTCTACCTATTTAAGGCCCCCATAAATTCTTTTTTCTTTGGCTTTGAGCATGGGCAAACTTTCATTGTGCTCTATGAATCATTCAAATGATATATGCAAGAAAACATTGACAGTTGAAAGAAAGCAGTTCACTGTATGTTTCCATCAGAGTAGGCAGCAGTTATGAAAATAATCTTCAACTTCCCACCTTCGCATTAGTGACACCAGGAACTCTGGATTACACTGGTAGGAGGGAAACACTCTGTAGTAATGCCATTAATTTTTTAGAGATGAGTGACAGCAAGCTACAGCCCTGCTGGCAACAATGCCAAGCAAGCATAACATTCTTGGCTTTAGAAACAGGTGAAATGAAGCAAGATTCTGGTCTTGGTGCTGTCTCTGTACTCCCAGCACTGCAGGCTGGTTGGCATGTGGTTAGAAATGTGCATTGATTTAATAAATTGTGAGAACAGAGATGCTTTTGAATTTTTAAATAAAGCTATTGTTATAAAACCTGTTATATATTTAAATTAAAGTGGTCACCTCTATAAATATGAATATTAAGAAGATATAGGATTTGTTAACTATGTTTTAGTTCAATATTATTGTTCCCCTCCATATTGCATGAAACAGCCATGACCCGTGTAGACCCCAGGCTATATTTTTAGATACCACCAAGACAGACTTAATTTCACTCACCTTGAGTAGACTTTAGACAAGTTTATTCCTGACTCGAAGCCCCAGACCTCCTTTATTGGACCTTTGGAAAACTTGTTATTGCAAATTCTTTCCTTGAACCTTTAAGATGTAACTTTTTTTTTAATTTACTTTTTTTTTTAAATTTTTTATTGGATTTTAGGTTTTGGGGTACACGAGCAGAGCATGCAAGACAGTTGCGTAGGTACACACATGGCAGTGTGCTTTGCTTTGCTTCTCCCCTTCACCCACATTTGGCATTTCTCCCCAGGCTATCCCTCCCCACCTCCCCCTCCCACTGGCCCTCCCCTTTTCACCCCCAATAGACCCCAGTGTTTAGTACTCCCCTTTCTGTGTCCATGTGTTCTAATTTTTCATCACCCGCCTATGAGTGAGAATATGCGGTGTTTCATTTTCTGTTCTTGTGTCAGTTTGCTGAGGATGATGTTCTCCAGATTCATCCATGTCCCTACAAACAACACAAACTTAAAAAAAACTTCTTGTCAGTTTTACAACTCAGGACAGGTGGATATATTTAAATCACCTAAGATATAGACCTTCCTGGTCTCATAACTTGATCTCAACCCATGTTGTTAACTTCATTTTTAAAGTATTTTCTAGATTTTGTGAACATAGACTTTACCACTTTTTTCTTTGCTAAGCTTACATGCTTATATTTCCTTTCCATTTGCACTTCCTCTTCCCTGTATATACCTGTCAAAATTTTACCCAGATAGATGTCATAGTCACCTTTCTACACACCCACAAAGGAAACAAATTTTTACACACATTATGCTTATCATAATCTAATTTGTATTGTGAGTATTATAGTACATGTTACCTACCCTCTACAAATTTGTTAAATATTTGAAGATGGTTTTATGTCTAATATATCTTCATGTCTTCCCAATTATCTAATGTCAATCTTACACATAGTAGAAACTGTTTTAAAGATATGTCTTCGGTAAGTGAACTAAAACCACATTATCAAATGCAAAACAGTGTTCTAAGCCTCTCCCCGGTCTCAGGCCAACTTGTATAGTAAGCAGTAACTGTATGCCTCAGAGGCCTCTCCAATTACATGTGTGAGTTCTCCAGGAGATCAGAATTGCTGATTTCTGTTCTTGCTAACCAGAGTTATAGACACAATCATTTAAATCACATTCCGAGGGAAGGAAAACATGAATAAACTTAGAGTAAGGCAGAAAGTGCCTCAGTTGAAATGGCACCAAGCCTATGCTATAAAGGGACCCCACCCTATATTATTCTATCTCGAGTAAAACTCTTGTCTGACTCAAACAGGAAATTAGAGTTATAACTTGTGTGAGGGAGCAAATCTGAAATATTAAACTCCTTTGACTTACGGACATTAAAGAAAATGAGGGGTCAGGCACGGTGGCTTAAGCCTGTCATCCTAGCACTTTGGGAAGCCGAGGCAGGTGGATCACGAGGTCGAGAGATGGAGACCATCCTGGCTAACATGGTGAAACCCCGTCTCTACTAAAAATACAAAAAAAGTAGCGTGCGCCTGTAGTTCCAGCTACTCAGGAGGCTGAGGCAGGAGAATTGCTTGAACCCGAGAGGCAGAGGTTGCAGTGAGCCAAGATTGTGCCACTGCACTCCAGCCTGGTGCCTGGCGACAGAATGAGACTCTGTCTCAAAAAAAAAAAAAAAAAAAAAGAAAAAGGATGTTTATTTTGATTGGTTGAGTTCCACAGTTAAAGGACTTAAAGGAGGCAGGGAAAAAAAATCAGTGTACTAGAGATCTCAGCTAAAGCTCTGGAGGACTGGCACATGCACATGAGGCAGAAGCTCCGAGTTGCTACCCAGCATCCTTCCTCCCTTTTGCCTTAATTGCAAGAGCTCATCTTTGTTCACTTTGACAGTGTGTCTAGTGAAATATTCGTTGCATTAATTTCCCTGCACATGTAGCCTTGCCAATGAAAATTAGAGAAAGTATTCTAGGTGTGGTTTCTGGGAAAGCTATTTTTTTCACAAGTAAAAACAGATGGACAGTTGGCACATGCCATTAACCCTTTCTCTTCTCCCATACTGTCTGGAACTTGATTTAATACACTAATCTTTATTTATAAGTATAGCACCATTTTGGATGCATAACAAAGAAAGATACATGCTAAAGATGATAAAGTAAAAAGATAGAGAATCTTGGATTCCTGGTGGCAACGTGGCATAATTGTTAGTATTGGACTTCTCATTTTTGCTGTTGTTTGTGGAAAAATTAACCTTGATTTGTTAATGCCGGTATACTTGAATTTCTGTTATGTGTAGACAGAACAAACCTGAAAGATATACTGGACTTAGAACACTTGTGGATGAATCAAGCACGTGGAAGAGACCTGGCCCTTAAGTATTTTATGCCATCTTTTATACCTTACCAATTCACTTGTCAGCTGGTTGAATGCAGAGGATCCAACAGATGACTCCAAAGCCATACCAAAGTACAGATACTAGAACCACAGACAGAAGAAGCAAGAACTTAAACCACTACTGATCTGCTAAACATCTGATTGGATTGTGTGGTGAGCCAGCAATTAAACTTCATTGTGTTAAACCACTAAGTTTTAAGGGTTGTTTGTCAGAACAACTGACATTAATAAGTCCAACTAAAACACTACCCCTCAGTGTCGACAAATAGATGAGTGGAGAAAAAAATGTGGCATTATTTTTCATACAGTAGAATATTATTCAGCCTTTTAAAAAAAGGAAATCCTGCCATTTGTGACAATATGGATGAATCAGGAGGATGTTTTGCTAAGCGAAGTAAGGCAGTTACAGAGGACAAATACTGCATGATTCCACTTTTATAAAGTATCTAAAATAGTAAAACTCATAGAAAAAGAGGTGGGAGTACCACCTGAACCCAGGGAGGTCGAGGCTGCTGTTAGCCATGCTCATTCCACTGTGCTCCAGCGTGGGCAATAGAATGAGACCCTGTTTCAAAAAAAAAAAAAAAAAAAAAAAGAATTTGGGTATTTGAATATACCTGAGTTCCCTGACCACTGTTAATAGTATACGGGTATATCTTTCCAAAACATTTTATGTATATATACATGTATTTTCTTTAATAAAGTGAGATCATCTTGTATATACTATGTGGTATTCTATATTGCACACTTAAGAATGGCATTAGTCAGGAGCAAATAGACACCACTGTACTTGTTTATCTTTGTCCATTTTCTGCTGCTATAGAAATTTCCCAGAATACCACAGACTGGGTAATTTATAAAGAGCAGAAATTTATTTGGCTCATGGTTCTGGAGACTGGGAAGTCCAAGAACATGGCACTAGCATCTGGTAAGAATTTTCTTGCTGCATTATTGCGGAAGGCATCACATGGCAAGAAAATGTGTACACAAGACACAGAGAGGAAAAAAAATAGACTGAGCTCATTATTTTATCAGGAGACTACTCTCCTGATACTTATACACTCTCATGATAGTGTCATTAACCCATTCATGAGTTCAGAGCCCTTACGATCTAATCTCCTTTTAAAGGTTCCACCTCTCAACACAATTACAATGACAATTAAATTTCAACGACAATTAAATTTCAACATGAGTTTTGGTGAGGACAGTCAAACCACAGCAATATTGTAAATAGAAGTGCAAAATAAAGGAAATGTACTACCCAGCTGATATGAGTTGAGAAACCAAACAGAATGATGAGGGAACCCAGAAATTATGAAGTAGAAAAATGCTTCTTACTATTTTCATGGACCTTAAGGAATAAAGAGAAGAATTGGGGTTGACATAACATAGATTCCAGGGTCATCCAGTGACAGTCAGATCCATAGATGGGGCTGCAAAGTAGAGCTGGGTTAATGGTGATGTCCAGTGAAAGCTGGAGCACAAAGAAGGTACATTTGCTGATGGGGTGCACCTGCAGCAGGAAGAGAAGGAAAACATAGTAAGTATCCCCACTTTTCCTATCCTTTGGCCTCCTGCTTGTTATATACTTTGTAGCAGGGAAATGTAGTTGGCTGTGATACACAGGAGGGTGGAGAAGAGAATAAATGGATTTAAAAGCAAACAGGAGAATGGCTATTTATAGTCTATGCTTTTGTTACTTGGCCTCCATTTTCATTCTTCTACCCATGTTTAATGCCCACACAACAACTTAATATTTCCATCTACTATAAGGCAGCAGTCATATATATAGAAAAAAAATTTTCTTCCTTTCCCTCAAAGTGGAGGCAAAAAGCAACTGTATTATCTAAGGCTATTTATCCAGCTGATATGTAGCCTCCTTCATTAATTCTGGATACCTATTTACGGTGCAGTCATCTCTGAAAACTAAGTTTCTAAAATCAGAACTCACCAGTACTCCTTGAATAAAATAAAAAATAGATAAAAGGGGAAAATGGGTATTTTGTTAAGCAGTGCAGGCATAGTATTACAGAAATGTGCATAGCTGATACAGTCATCATTTATGTAATCGGTCATGCCTGAGGCTGTAGTTGATATTTTTCACTTTCTTCTTCCACCATTTGCTCCTTGTTCTCTTATACTCAGGTACATCTTAACTGGGTTCTCTTTTGGTAGAGAGATCTAAGTCTTTCTTCTTGAAACATTGGGTCTTTAGTGGTCCTGTCTTGATTTGGTTGTTATGATCTTCCATTGACTTTTACTACTGGATAGAGAAGTACTATGAGGTTTCCTGGTGGATTCTGTCATAGTCTTCCCAGTCCCTATATGTAGCAATGATGCAATTTTCCTTTGATAAAGTAGGTAAACCATCAAAACTGGTGTAGTAACTCCTCTACTGCCAGTTGAATCATTGGCATGAGGAACCCCAGTTGACCAGAGGCAGCTAGGAACTAAGATCTACAAAGCGTCAGAACACAGGGCTGCAAGATTGTAATGATGAAATATTATGTGTAATAGTAAAAGAGCCACTTCTACTTCTATCTGTTGATTTTAGTCTATGTGTACTGGAAATGAGAGAAAATAACACTTTATATTTGTCTCTGGTTTAAAATACACCATATCTGGGAAAATAGCATACTAACCCCAATAAATCTTCTGTAGACCATCTCCTATTCTGTTAGGCTAGCTGCTTCTTGGGTTACATGATAGCAGGAGGAAATAATGCAGGTTCATGTCTCCATTTTGCCCTAAAATGTCAAGAGGTTTTTGGTGGTTTAAGATTTTTCAGTTTTATCTGAGACACCCATCCCAAATCCTTCAGTCCCATTCTTCCACATAATGTCTTAATGGTAATATAAAAGACTTGAATGTGCTTGCATTGAATTACTCCAGTAAAGGCTACCTGATGGGAATTGGAGCCAAGGAGAAGATGCAGCCTTTGCTGGGGACAGCACTGAGGCAGAGGGACAGGGAAAATATCCCTTAGTGACTCCCTTTATTCTACTACTTTATAGTGAGTTTTACTGGGGTAAGAATTTGTATGGAAGGAATTATTACAGAAGTGTTTCTGGGAGAAACCCATAGGGGAGTGGAAGGAGTAGGATAAGAGAGGGGCAAAAGCCAAAATCCAGGCAAAGTACCTTAGAGGATGACTGCAGATGAGTCCTGCAGGGAACACCTGAAGTGTAAGCTATACCTCCATTATTTGACTCTGAGGCAAAGGAGCTGTGTTTTCTTTCTTCCACTCATGTTAGTCATTGGTTATGGGTGACTGTCCCATTTTGGAATTAAATTCCCAGGAATTTCCAGTTATTTTCTAGGAAAAGTCAACCCTGGGAGTCTGAAAACAGTTTTCTGGAAAATAGCTGAAGGCATTCCCTTGAAATGAAATCACATGAAAGCAGCTGGGATACATACAAAATCCATAAAAAGGGATCCCAGGCAATCTTGGTGCAGTACTGACATTGCTGGCTGTACCTGTGCTCAGCTTTCTGCTTGTGCCTGTCCCTGAAACTATTGGAAGCCACAGGACAAGTAAATATGGCTCCCTCTGAGATGGAACAGAGCAGAGAATGATGGGAAATAAACTGAGAACAATTTTTTGACCTCCACAGCATATCAAAAGAAATTTCCTCTGATATTACATATTTGTCTATAGCCATTCTAATAATTGCATAATAGGCCAATAAACAGATGTACACATCCATTTCTGAAGTCTCCTTTTTGGCTGGAAATTAGCTCTTTACTAGTTTGGATATAGAACAACTCTGCAACCAGAGTTTAGTTCATCTTAACATTTTCCTTAGGACAAAGAGCAACAGTACTTTAATAGGCCTTCTGTGAAGTTGAGGATAGGTGTAGCACTAGTCAAACACCATAGCAACATGTAAAATTCCTGGTATTGTTACCAGGAAGTATGAGCAGCCTTGGTTCTTGTCTAAACTGGAAGAAAGAATTTAGCCAAGAGACACATTGTAGCAGAGTTTACTGGAGGTCTATAAGGTACATTTCTAGAGAGGAGTGGAAAACAGCTCTGGGCTGGTCCAGCTGGAAAAATAGTAGTAGCAGTACCATCATTATTTAAAAAGACAGTACGTTCTGAAAGTCAAAACAGAGCGGACTGCACCAAAGAATGAGGCAGCAACTAATGCTGAGGGATTCTTTTTAGGAGAATCTTACATGATTATTTATGAAAGGGCATGAGGGTCTGTTATTTACAAGTATGTTTTGGGAGGTCTTTTTGGGTACAAAGGCTCTATGGTTGTACCCAAACAGATTGCATGTTTTATTAGCATTTAGGCAGAGGTGTGCTTTTTACTATTATAATGAGAAAAGATTACTCTAAAGTGAGCTTTTAGAGTGGACATGCTTGTCAGTGAGGAAAACCCCCAGTATAGCTGTCTCTGGCTACGGCATGATAAGTCCCTTCATGGCCAGAGGATCCCAACCACGAGGCCAGATGTAGCCAACGTACCCACCATCCTTTTTGCTGTCAGTGGGCAACCCTGACCATCAGTGGGCAGCATCTCCAGGACTTCTTTTCCTAAGAGGGCTCCCTTGCCTGCTCATTTCTGGCTCTCTACCTACTCTTTAACAATATGAATATATATCAGCAGACAGCATTTTACACAAGGTCTGGGTTCCAAAGTCAGTTGTTTATAGTTCAGTGTTTGAAAATCAGAACATATTTTTATGCTAAAATTATGTTGTAATTGGTATTTTGGTTCCCAGTATATCTCTCGAGCCTTTATTTAGCTTACAGCTGAGCTTCTGAATTATAGTATGAATATGACCACCTTCTCCTCCTATTTCTCTCTTACTTTCTCATTTCAATCCATGTTTTCATGAAAGGTCATTATCCAGCTGTGGAAGCAGAATATTCCTTATCAGTCATTAGATTTGAGTTGAAATTTAATTTATCCTGGGTCAGAAGAATTTGCAATTAAGTCTCTGTAATAGTGAGATACTTTATACCCCAGAAAATAATTTTCTGGTACCATGTATAGAAGAAAGTTTAAAAAGAGAAGGTAACTTCTTATCCTAAGTTCATGCCTTATTATCTCTGCATACTTTATTCTTACTGCTTTCTAAGGTTAGTTTCCTGCTTATATTTCCCAGAAGAGTAAAATGTGGTTTCTATTTTGAAAAAATTTCCTAGAAAAGTGGACATTTAGGAATATGCTAGTCACTTAGGCATGGTGGATTTTCTAACCTTGGGTGTGCTGCTGTTCTTTGGCTTTAGATAGATAGCATCCTGTCTTGCTTTTAGATTTTGTCTAGTTCTGTTGAAATATAGCTGCTTTATAATTAGCCTACATGGATATAATCAGATAATCACTACTGGCTTGCCATCAAGTCTGCTTCAGGTATTTGTAGCTTTAATTTGTTTTCAGAAAATAGTTTA